CTTGGCGGTAGAGTTTGGGCTTTTCGCGGTCCTCCGGAGCCTGAGGGAGCTATCCTAAACCTGAAACCCGAGGCCCTCAAGCAGATTAATATCCCAACCGTCCCCAAGATTCCCAAGTGCTCCCTTAAGCCTTTCTTTGGTGGTTTAGGGTTTAGGGTTTAGGGTTTAGGGTTTAGGGTTTAGGGTTTAGGGTTTAGGGTTTAGGGTTTAGGGTTTAGGGTTTAGGGTTTATCCCGGGTACTCTGCCCTCCTTGGGAAACGATCCTATGGGATTGGGGGGTTTGGTGTAGGGCTTAGGGCTTATTGGGGTTTAGAATCTAGTTTAGAATCCTAGGGTTTGTATGGGGGTCCTCAGCATAAGCGGCTTCGTTACAAGGGACCCAGAAGGGGTCTGTCACATGAGTTGTGGAGAACTACTCAACCCTAAGCCCAAAAAGCCCAAATCCATCAACCCTAAAACCTAAACCGGACTTCAGTGTGCGTGTGTGCGGGCGTGCGGGTGTGTGCGCGTGTTCGCGGGAGGGTGGGTGGGCGGGTGGGTGTGTGGGTGTGTGGGTGTGGGGGCGTGGGGGCATGGGGGCGTGGGGGCGTGGGGACATTTGGGTGTGGGTGTGGGTGCGGGTATGTCTGCCTGGGTCTGGGTGGAGGGCCCTACATCTCTAAGCCCCAAACCCTAAACAGTAAACCTTAAACCATTAAACCCTAAACTCTACACTAAACCCTAAACCCTAAACCCTAAACCCTAAACCCTAAACCGCAGGTCAACCACAAGCTACAGGAGCGCCCACAGGTGCTGGAACAGCTTGTGGAGCAACTCCGGCTGGTTTAGGGTTTAGGGTTTAGGGTTTAGGGTTTAGGGTTTAGGGTTTAGGGTTTAGGGTTTAGGGTTCAGGGTTCAGGGTTTAGGGTTTAAGGCTGTGAAGCATAGGGGGGGAACATGAGGCTCCGGGTTTAAAGTTTATAGGGTTTACAGGGTTTGGGGTTTACGGAAATTTATCGTTTACGGAAATTCCCTAAACTCCAAGCCCTACATGGGTGTTCAGCGGATTCGCGGTGTAGGGCTTTGGGTTTAGGGCAGTTTAGGGGTTAGGATTCAGGGTTTACGGCTTAGGTTCAGGGCTACGCTGCGCAGCCTATGGTTTTAAGGAACCCTAAACCCTAAACCCTAAACCCTAAACCCTAAACCCTAAACCCTAAACCCTAAACCCTAAACCCTAAACCCTAAACCCTGCAGGGTTCGGAGAGGTTGTAAGGGATACCGCCAAGGCTCCAGGGAATCGGGCTCGGGCCCGGGAGCGCAGCTCTTTTAGAAGTTAGAAAGAGCATCTGTGTCGGGTTGCGGTTTAGTGCTTTAGGATAGCATCTTGGGTGTACTTGGAGCTTCATGCTACTTAGTAACCCAATCATAACTCTACTAATAACCCAGTTATCACCCTATTAGCATACTTAGCGGGCTTAAAGGTGGCTATGACTACACTTATCATGGCCGGTTACTGTACGAAGTACCCGGAAGCTCCAAGTAGAGTTTAGGGTCTGGGGCGTAGTGTTTCGGATTTTTTGGGGTTTGCCATTCAGGACACAGAGCCTCGGACATGGTGTCGCTGCGCCATTCCCTTATCAATCGAAATGTTTAGGGTTTAGGGTTTAGGGTTTAGGGTTTAGGGTTTAGGGTTTAGGGTTTAGGGTCGTTGGGCTTTCGGGTTTGGGAGAGGCTTATAGCTTGGGGTTTGGGATATTCGGGGTTACGAAGTAGGGTTTAAGGTTTTGTAATCAATCCAGGCTTGCCGTAACTATAGGCTTCTGCATGCAGGTGCCCTTGAAATCAGATCATGGGCGCTTGTTTCACTTGTAGTGGACGAGACTTCCCTAAACCCTCAACTCTCAACCCTAAACTCTAAACCCTAAACCCTAGACCCTCGACCCTAAACCCTAAACCCTAAACCCTAAACCCGAAACCCGAAACCCGAAACCCGAAACCCGAAACCGAAGCCCTGCATGCCGACCAAGGTATGTGCAAGCGTTTAAGCCGGAGTCCGAGATGATGAGCTGGCTCTTTATGGATTTAGCGCCTAGGGAACTTGGGGAGGAGTGCTGCTTGCTAAGCCCCAAACCCTTAACCCTAAACCCTAAACCATAAACCCTAAACCCTAAAACCCTAAATGGCTCGGGGAAGGGTCTTGATAGTGGGGAGGATGACTGGTGAAATGGACTCTTCCTTCTTTTGGGGCTCAGGGTGACTTTCCCTCCTCCCTTGGAGTTTATGGTTTAGGGTTTAGGGTACCCCGTTTTCTCCTAAGTCAGGAGGGGGAACCTAGCTGAGGGCTGTCAGAGAGTCAGCTTTCAGAATTATAATATGACATCTAAAAGTGCATCAATTGAAATGCTTGAAAAATGGTATGATGATAAATAATGATTGTGTTAATGAATTGCAAGTAAACCATGTTGAATTGATCCCTTCCCCCTAATATTCAACGGGCGGGCCACCCCCCCCCCCCCCCCCCCCCCCCCCCCCTTGAACAATTCGAAAGCTGTTTTTTATAATTAGGGGGTATTCTTATCGAAATGTCATAAGGACTCTAACCCCTAAACCCTTAACCTAGACCCCCAACCCTAAACCCTCTGAGGGTTTTATTGGTGTTGAGGGGTCTATTGGAGGCCTGAACCACCCCCCTAATTCGGAATTGGGGTTAAAAGGCGGGGTCGGTTTCGGCAGGATTTTACGGAAAGTGTTTTTTTGTTTTTTTTTTATCATTAGGGGTGCATTTAATAAAAGGGATTATATACGATGTGTCGAAAAGTTTTCATGAATTCAATTTATTAAGAATTAAAGCTTCATTTTAACATGCATGCACGGGAGGGAGGGAAGGCTTCATTTATCTGTATATGAAACGCAAAAAATTGAAATAAGTGATCAATGCAACGTATTACTACTTTTTTTCAAACAAGATATTGAAAGTGATCCTTGCAGCCTTGTTTCTTTTAGTTTTGTTTTAAAATATTTTTAGGTTTTAAGAAAACTGTTAGGTTGTCATATACTTTGTTTTTCTTTAAATTGTTTGTTTTAAACTATTTTGTTATTCTTTTAGTTTCAAAGTATTTGGTTTTCCTTTTGTTTTCAGAACAAACTTTTATTTGATTTGTTGCAAACCATCTTCCATTTAAATTACGTATTGTTATAATTTTGTCTTGGAGCCTATGTTGGGGCTGGCTTAAAACCTAAAACCTAAACCCTAGCCCTCAACCCTAAACCCTAAAACTTACAGCTGGGCCCCATGGACCAAGGACTCCCCAGGTCTCCAACATTTAGGGTAACCCTAAACCCTAAACCCTAAACCCTAAACCCTAAACCCTAAACCCTAAACCCTAAACCGTAGGGGACTTTTCGGCACTTACATGGTCCCTGAGTGTGGTCCCTTCCCACCCTAAAGCCTAAACCCTTAACCCTCAGCCCTAAACCCTAAACCCTAGCCCTAAACCTTCATCCCTAAGCCCTAAACCCTGAACCCGAAACCCTAAACCCTAAACCCTAAACCCTAACCCTAAACCCTAAACCCTAAACCTGTTTTTGCAAGGGTTTGTCCAGGAAGGTCGAAGCCGAAGTGCCAAAGCTCGAGGGGCTGAAGACCTCCGTCGAGGAGATGCCCGGCGTCCCAGTTGTTTTAGGGTTTAGGGTTTAGGGCTAGGGTTTAGGGTTTAGGGTTTAGGGTTTAGGGATTAGGGTTTAGGGTTTGGGGTTTTGGGTTTAGGGTTTAGGGTTCAGGGTTGAGGGTTTAGGGCTAGCCCTAAACCCTAAACCCTGTAGTTTTTCCTGCAGTAATCCCGGTCCGGCGTTCGATTGCCATCCCTGCGCTGGTCAACTGTGTCCCAGCAACTAAGGCCTTTTAGGGCTCAGGGCTTGGGAGGCTCAGTATCAAAGGGTAGTTACATGGGCCCGTTGGGGTTCCAGGGTTCAGGGTTAGGGTTTAGGGTTTAGGGCTACGTAGGTTTTTTTGCTTTTAGGGTTTGGGGTTTAGGGTTGACGCCCAAGCACCCCTAAACCCTAACACCCGTAAGCCCTCAAGACCTAAGACCCGAGATCCTAAAACCCTAAACCCCAAAGAGCCCCAATTACGGTTTTTGGTTTTAGGGTTCAGGCTTCAAGGTGGGACCTTGCGAAGGGGTACCGGGGGGGGGGGGGGGTTCAGGTAGCGTTCAAAACCCTGAGAGAGGCATGGAACCGGGCGATGGATTGTTCTTCAACACATTCTCGACCCTAAGCCCGACACCCTACATTTCCTGAAGTCAGGAAAGCCCTAAACCCTACACTTGCACCCCTTCTACGCACCCTAAACCCTCAAAACCTAAACATGGCATGTTCCCCATTATACTAACAGTCCTGAATAGGGATTATAGTACCCGTCTATTATAGTCCCAACTAAGGACTGTTAGTATACGCGGGAACATCCCAACCCTAAGCCCTCAAAGACCTAAACCTATAAACCAAAACCCGAAACCTTAAACCCTAAACCCTAAACCTTAAACCCTAAACCCTAAACCCTAAACCCTAAACCCTAAAGGACCTAGCTGCTCAAGGCCCTGGGAGGAACAAACACCGAACTGGGTTTAGGGCTTGGGCTTTGGCGCCTTCGAGCCTGGCGGTTCAGGGTTTAGGGTTTAGGATTAAGGGTTTCAGGGATTGGGGGTTTTAGGGGTTATAGGGTTTGGGATATACAGGGCTGAGCATAATTTGGGGCAAGAACGTTTTGGGCGCTTTGGTGGTGGTTGGGGACTTGTGAGTGGCTTGTTTCCCAGACCCCTGGGAGGATCCAAAAAAAGAGCCCCCTCCCTATACTACTATTGGGTCATTCTGAGGAACCCTCATGGGAATCCACTGTCTGGATCCTCCCAGAGGTCTGTGTCATTGCGAGGGATCCTATCGCATTGTTGCTTTCCTCCGGCTCAAAGGAGGGTGGCAGAAATCCCACACCACCCTTCCCTTCCCTTCTGACCAGAAGCGTCAGATGAAGCTGAGGGCCATCCTTCAGACCTTCTTTGCGGCACTCGCTTGGGGCGCCTCCGACACACAGCCGGGTGCGACAGCAGTATTGGATGACAGCTGTCGTGACGCGCCCCTGTCCCTGGTGCAGTCGCGGGCTTCTAGCCGAGGCAAAGGGGCTTCCCAACAAGCGGGCCCAAAGCCATGGGAGAAGCACTACTACTTCGTGGGTACGCACCACAAGTCCGGCAGCCAGCTGCTGCGAGATGTGACTAGGACCCTGAGGAGGCCCTTATTTCCTTTTTTTTTGGGTGGTTGAGGTTCCCTTCTACTCCCCTTAAACACCCTAGGTTACTCCTGGGTCTAGGTGATGACACATGCCTTTGACACCCTGGGTGCTCCCTCCTCCTGTCACTGGAATCCTACGGGCACGAGTGCCATTACTGCGGCAGATCACGACCATGTGTGCAGCGACCGGTTGGATACTCGGTAGGCCTTTGGGACATTTTATATTCTCCTATAGATTTGGTTTAAGAGTAAGAGGATGATGTTCAGGAGTATTGTCTTGAGAGGGGGTTTAAGGGCCATCCTAGTGACCCTAAACCCTAAACCCTAAACCCTAAACCCTAAACCCTAAACCCTGAACCCTGAACCCTAAACCCTAAACCCTAAACCCTAAACCCTAAACCCTAAACCCTAAACCCTAAACCCTAAACCCTAAACCCTAAACCCTAAACCCTACCCCAAGCATAGGACATACCCATACAATGGGACAACGGCGCCCGCATCGGAAATTTTGCGATGGCGCGGAAGGCGGCTTCCTTCCGCCAGCTGCCAATCCGAGGCGCCCACGCCATTCGCAAGCCCAAGGACGGCAGCTTTGGGGTAGGGTTTAGGGTTTAGGGTTTAGGGTTTAGGGTTTAGGGTTTAGGGTTTAGGGTTTAGGGTGCAGGGTTTAGGGCTTCGGGTTTAGGGTTTAGGGTTTAGGGTTTAAGGTTCAGGGCGTAGGGCTGAAGGTTTAGGGTTTAGGGTGTAGGGTTGAGTTTATCTCACAAGGAACCAAGGGGCTGGAAGGGAGGATGTAAGGCCCCCATATTCCCGTAAACAAGGGCTCAAGAAGTCTGAAGAAGCCCTAAACCCTAAAACCCTAAACCCTAAACCCTACACCCTAAACCCTAAACCCTAAACCCTAAACCTAGTAAGGGAACATGCGGAAGGACATGCTCGTCTCGGCCTACTGCTATCACCACCGGGGTGAGGAGTATGGCCACTATGCAGGGGCCCCATGGCCCGAGATCATGTTCATGGGCCCTCTCGAAGGTTTCATGGCCCTCTGGCCCGCCATGATGCAGAACATTCAGACCCTTAGTAGCTGAAAGAGTACACTTTGCACTTTCTGGGCTACCAGAATCCCCTAGAGTCCCTAGAGAACTGAAGGTGTGCACTTTTTTGGGGGCCTATGAACTCAGCAACTAAGGACCATGGTGGACGTCTACACGAACACGAGTGCGGATGAGATGTTCCACGTGCGCTTCGAGGAGGTCACCAAGTCGTCGGAAGGCTTTGACGACGTGGTTCAGAGGCTGTTTCTTTGGGATACTTGGGAATAATTTTGAATTTTGGGGTACTATAATATTCCTAAACAACAGCAAGAATCAGATTTTTTTGCTAGGGATGCTTGGGACAATTTCTTTTTTATTATATGTTTTTTATTATATGGATATTATAAGTCCTAAGAAACAGCAAGAAGATAAGCATTTTTTGCTCGGGTTCCAGGTGCAGTGTAGGTTTCACTTCCTCTTCGCGCCCACAGTCCCAGAGTCGGGCCTGTCTCGGCTTTGGCAGGCAGCCAAGGTAGAGGACTTGAACGTCAACCCCACCTACAATAACACCATCTCCGAAAACGGCCACCTTAGTAACTGAATGAGTACACACTTTTTTTGGGATAGGGTAATCCCCTATAGAACTGAAAGTGTACACCTTTTTAGGGGCTTATGAACTTAGCAACAAAGGCCACTCGAATGACAAGGACTGCATGCAGGCTGCGCAGGAATCTTTGCTGGAGCTGGACCCAAGATGGTTGCAACAACTGAAGGACATGCAAGAGCAGCTAGGGTATTCGATTGAGAACTGGCCGGACCCAGTCACCAGCTGAATGGCAAGAAAAACATGTAAGTGCTTACGAGACGTGGGCCAAAAGCCTAAACCCCTAAACCCTAAACCCAAAACCCTAAACCCTAAACCAGTCTGAGTTTTGGTCACTGGTCTGTGTGTCTTATGTCTCTGCAATCCTTGGACAGGAAAGGATCCCACAATAATACCGACCCTTGACCTGTCTAAGGGGGTCTCATGCTCCTTTTAAATGTAGGGTTAGGGTTGAGGGTTTAGGGTTTAGGGTTTAGGGGACCCGGAGTAGGCCCTTATTCCCTTTTTTGAGGGTTTAGGTTCCCTCCTCAACCCCTTTAAAACAGGTTACTCTTGGCTCTAGAATATCTGGGCTTGCCATATTGGGGCAGGCTTTAGGCTTTTGGGTTTAGGGTTTAGGGTTTAGGGTTTAGGGATCCCAGTATTTGGGAGGTCTATCTTGGGGGTCCCTTCGTATCGTAAACCCCCATGTAGTCCCTGGCCTTCTTTTTCGGGTTCTGATGCATGGGCCCTTGGGTTCTACAGGGCATATAAGGGAGGTCCCCATTTAGGGTTTAGGGTTTAGGGTTTAGGGTTTAGGGGAAAGGGACCATGAAACTACCCTTAGAACCTGGGACCCTTTGTAAACCTAGACGCCCACACCTTGCAGAGCCGATTGTCCTTTGAGGGTGAAGGATGGAGGTGTTCATGCTTACCAGGGTAAGCAGGCTTTAGGGTTTAGGGGGCCTAAACCCTTGACTGCAAAAACCGACTAACCCTAAACCGTCCAGCAATTCCCCAAGAGAGCAGGGGGGGGGCGGGGGCCCCATGCCCACGGCCACAATGGATACAATCCTAAATTTGCAGGGAGATTACAGTATTCCTAAACCCTGAACCCTAAAGCTAAGCCGAACAACCCTGAACCGGAACCCTAACCCCTCAACCCTCGTCGGCAGCCGCCTTTACCTTCCCCCCAAATTTGCCCTGATAAGGGCAGGCCTGATAGGGTTTAGGGTTTAGGGTTTAGGGTTTAGGGTTAGGGTTTAGGGTTTAGGGTTTCGGGTTTAGATTTAGGGTTTAGGGTTTAGGGTTTCGGGCAGTAGGAAATCCTTGGAGCCCTGCCAAGGTACGGAACTTTGTTCCATCATGGCGTTCGGACCGACATGGTCACAGCCTCAGGACCCTGGCCATATTGGGGTTTAGGGTTTGGGCTTAGGGTTTAGGGTTTAGGGGAGGGCCGGGTTGAGGGGAGAAGGGTTGAGTACTCTTTTCAGTGTGGTCATCTGGGAGGATCCCTAATCACAACTTGCGCCCTTGGGGGTAGAAATGGCAATATGGGGGGTTTACGATAATTGGGGTCCCGGAATGTAGACCCCCAACAAGTAGGATCCTCGTATAGTAAGGTTCCCAATGAGGTACCCCTATTATCGCAAACCCCCAAAATAGTCTGGGGCTCACTTGGTCTAGGGTTCGGGTTCACGGCAGGGATGTTGGCTGCCTATTTGGATCCCCATCTTTTTTTGGATTTTGGAGGGTTATACATCTTTCTCCAGTGGTTGTAACACGTTGTAACCTTCCAGTTTGTTGGGTTCAGGGTTCCAGGCAAGCCCTAAACCCGAAACCCACAACCCATAACCCAAAGCCCAAGTCCACTTGAAGCCCAAACCCAACACTCGAAACTACATCCGAAAACCCTCAATGGCTTGAGCCCTCGTTCCCAAACTCAAACCCTGAACTCTGAACCCTCAACCCTAAACCCTAAACCCCTGAGCTCTGAACCCTCTACCCTATCAGTCCCTACCCTTGTCACCTCAGCCCCAGACCCAAAAGCCGAGAGCCCCGATACACTTCATTATGCCTTGTGGGGTTTAATCCCCTCCCCCAAATATTAACCCCCCCCCCCCCCTCCCCCCAATATTAAATACCCCCCCCCCCCCCACTATAGCTTCAGTATAGTATATTGGGGATTTTTAATATTAGGGGGTAGGGGGAGTTTAATATTAGGGGGAGGGGGTTTGGGGGTTTAGGGGGTCTAGGAGGTAGACGGTTTAGGGTCTAGGTACCTTTCTTTGAGCCCTAAACCCTGTAGACCTCTTAACCCTAAACCCTAAATCCTAAACCCTAAGCCCCTAAACCCTAAACCCTAAACCCTAAACCCTAAACTCTAAACCTCTCTTTCACATATAATTACATTGCGGGCGCCTGGGGGGGTGCACATGTCGCCCGAAGACCGAAGACACATTTTGAAGACACATGGGGTTGAGGACCCCGGCCCTCCAGAGCAGACAGCGAAGACACGTGGGCGTCAGCAGACACATGTCAGGCGCAGACAGCGAAGACCCGTGGGCGTCTGAAGACACATTCCCGGCGAAGACACGTGGCGTCGGGAATCCCGTCTGAAGACACGTGGGCGTCAGAAGGCACTTTTACCAGAATACGTAGAGCCAAGGCTAAAACCACTCAAACAGGTGGGGACAGCGCCTCCTATGCAGTGAAGACAAACAGCGTCGCGAAGATACTTCCCGCAGCCAGGTCCGGTGAAGACGCCCAGCGTCGCGAAGACACGTGGGCTAGCGAAGACACCTTCCGAAGACAGCTCCCGCGAAGACACGTGGCGTCACGAAGACACATGGGCAAGTGAAGACACTTCCCGAACGAAGACACGTGGCGTCGCGAAGACACTTCCTGCAGACAGCCCTGCATCCTCCCCCCGCGCGCGCGCGCGCGCGCGCGCGCGCGCGCGCGCGCGGGCGCGCGCGCGGACCCAAGCTCGTCAAACCTCAACACTTCCTAAATAGGCCTCAGCTTTAATGTTCCATATTCTTTACAATTGCGCTAGGATGTGTTACTGTGTTTATGCAGAACGTGGCGTCGCAACGTGGCGTTACTGGCTTTATGTGGCGTCGCTGAGCCACCTGGCGTCACCGGACATGGCGTCAAAACGTGGCCTCACTGCCTCATGTGGCGTCACGCAGACACGTGGGGTCGAAGAACCTGGCGTCAGAACGTGGCGTCACAGACTCACGTGGCGTCACTGAGCCACCTGGCGGCGCCGGATCGGGCATCAAAACGTGGCGTCACTGGCGCACGTGGCATTATATAGACCCCCCAGGGTTAGATTGCGACGACAAAAAACGCTGGCCGTGGGTGAGTCTTCACCGTGCGTGGCGTCAGCACGTGGCGTCAGAAGCTTACGTGGCGTCAGGACCCTGCGTGTCGTCAAACCAGGTGGCGTCAAAACATGGCGTCAGGCGTCACGCACAGACGTGGCGTCAGGGGACCTGGCGTCAGTACGTGGCTTCAGGGGGTCAGTGGACAGAACGTGTCGTCAAAACGTGTCTTCAGGCGTCGGGCGAAATGTGAATCCCCGTGGGCGCCCACCCTGCGTATAATTAAATGTAAATGGACTCACGACAGAACTGGGTAGATACAAGTCAGAACCAGCAGGTGCGGGGGATCTTGGATGTGGTCTTTAGTGATTATGGGTGGGGTTAGAACCCCTAAGCGCCCTAAACCCTGAACCCTAAACCCTAAACCCTAAACCCTGAACCCTGAACCCTAAACCCTAAACCCCAAACCCTAAACCCGAAACCCTAAACCCTACACCCATCCCTCAGAACCAGAGGCCGAAGATTTGAGTCGCGACATGCTCCTGCAACGTGCCTGGGCCCCCAGACCTTAGGGTTTGCCTAAGAGTTTAGGGTATAGGGCTAGGGTTTAGGGTTTAGGGTTCAGGGTTTAGGGTTTAGGGTTTAGGGTTTAGGGTTTAGGGTTTAGGGTTTAGGGTTTAGGGTTCAGGGTTTAGGGTTTAGGGTTTGGGGGATCCTGCGAGCTTGGGCCGGGGGTGGGGAACCCTACAGTAAACCCTCAAACCAAAGCCTCAACCACCAAACCTGAGACCCAGAGGCGTCCGTGGTCCTCTGCAAGGCTTGCCTCTACCCACGACTCCCTAAGGCTCCCTAAGCTTCACTACGGTTCCGTAGGTACCATGAGTCCCCCCTCCCTTAACTCTAGGACCCTAGAACTTGGCCTTCTTCTGGCTGGCTCTTAGGACTTTAACCTTCTGGGCTCTTGAAGAAACGACAGCAAGGAGCCTAAAAGTTAAACTATTATAGGAGAGCTTCAGAAGTCAGCCAAGTGCCTTTTTGGTGTCGGGCCAACCCCCCAAACGCCAAGCCTCAGATCTTTCGAGCCTTCGAGCAGGGACGTCCTTATGGCCTAGACTTATACGTCGCTGCCGACACGAAAGGAAAACATCAGCACGATCAGAGAGCAAGGAACCCTAAACCCGCAAAGGACAGATTCAGGGTGGACAGTAGGCGGGGGCGGGGATACCCGATGAGCTAGCTAGCGGGCTCAGGAGCTCACAGGTTTAGGGTTTAGGGTTTAGGGTTTAGGGTTTAGGGTTTAGGGTTTAGGGTTTAGGGTTAGGGTTTAGGGGCTTACAGGGTGTAAGGTTCTCGGATTCGGGGACACTTACCTTGCAACTACGCGGCCCGCCCCCTGCTGCTAAGTTATTGTAAAGCAGGACAGGCCTTAACCCCGTAAGGTTTAGGGTTGAGGGTGAGGGCTGGGGTTTAGGGTTTGGGGTTTGGGTATAGGGTTTAGGGTTTAGGTCTGACACCGGAAAATCCCAGCACACCCCGTCCGCTTCAGGCCGCCATTTTCGAGAACACGGTGCTTCCAGGGGCGCAGTTCTTCGTGAATGACCAGGGCGACCATGTGTGCTCCGAGGCGCACTTTGGGGGATTGAAGAGTTGAGGCTTTAAGGGTTTAGGGCTTTGGGGTTTAGGGTTTAGGGGTAAGGGGTTTAGGGTTTAGGGTTTAGGGTTTAGGGGCTTCGGTTTGGGGAGAGGGCTGGGGGTAGGGGTTCAGGGGGTCATCGGCTCAGGACCTCAACCTTAAAGTCCCTAAGCCCACCCCTCAAGCCCACCCTAAACTCAAAACCCTAAACCCTAAACCCTAAACCCTAAACCCTAAACCCTAAACCCTAAACCCTAAACCCTAAACCCTAAACCCTCACTCCTCAAA